TTGCATCTGGCCAGCGCTGGGCCACATGCTTTGTCTTGCTCTTGGTGAGTTGCTTTCTGTGGTCCTGAATGAAGCTAGGGAAACACTGTCCAAGGTCCTGAATCAGTGTAGCCACAACCCCTCTTGACTGCCTCATGTCCTGCTCCCTTGCTCAAACCACTGGCTAGAGAAGACATTGGAATCTCTAGTGGAGCCTAACAGTGGCTGCCATGAAAAATAATGTGTGGGGAGGTTATGTGAACTCAATCACCTGCAAGTACATCAGAAGCATCTTTAGGTGGACAACAATACATCCATGTAGAGCTTCCCTGTGTGGGTGGGGTTTTGGTTAGAGGGGCTGTGCTAGCCAAGGGAGAGTCTTTGTTGCCCCCAATGTTCTGGACTACAACTCCCACAATCCCTAGGACTAGGATCTAGCCCACTACTACCTACTGTAACTGGCAGGAGCTCTACAACAGTGGTCCCCAGCCTTGGGCCCCCAGATGTTCTTGGACTTCAACTCCCAGAAATCCTGGCCAGCAGAGGTGGTGGTGAAGGCTTCTGGGAGTTGTAGTCCAAGAACATCTGGAGGCCCAAGGTTGGGGACCAGTGCTCTACAAGATCTCAGGTAGAACACGGTCTCTTCCATCACCTGCTATCTGAAGCTTATCATTGGACTGACCCGGGACCTTCTCCATGCAAATAGCTGCCACACCAGTGAGCTCCTGCTCCTGCCCATCCTCAGTTACCTCCATGATCCCACCTAAATGGAGGCTGGGAGAAGAAGTGCAACAAGTGCAACCATCGGGGATCTCAAAAAAAAGGTTGAGAACTTGCTGCCTAGGGAAGAAAGCAGTAAGGTTCACTTTTGACACTGTCTAGTCTTGGGAGATGGATGACCTCTGACATAGTGCAGAGGAAAACTGTGCAGAATGACAACTGCATGGCTTAGCCAGCTATCAGTTGTTTGGCTTCACACAAAGACACAGCTGGACTGTATACATATATATTATATTTTTATGTATATATATATATTTATATTTATATATACACATTGACATTGCAAAACCCTGATTATATTACATAGAAAAAGAAAATCTGACAGGTTTCACATAACCAAAATTTCACCATGTCCCCCAAATCAGATACAATGCAGCTAATATGATACAAGTAGTCAGGCATGGCATTGGGGGGGCGGGTGTCGTGTAGCGCCAACACATCTCTCCTGAGACAGGGAGTTCCACAGATATTTCAGCTTTAAGATCCCAAGCGCTTTCCCCAGCTCGATCCCACCAAAATAGACAGGAAGACACAGGAAGTGCTGTCATCTAATGACTGCAGGAATGCTGAGAACTTAATTGGGTGAGAGTGCCAAAGTCTCACATCTAACGCTGGACTGTTTCCACCAAATGAATCGTGCAATAAGGACTGGGCTGCCAATTACTTAATCCCTGGGATGTGTGTGTGTGTGTGAAAGAGAGAGTCATTTGCATTAATGTACAATTTTCTTTGGCACATGGAAGTGTAACATAACATGGAAGAGCTTCCATGTAAACACCAGCTGGCTCACAAGACCCTCTTTCTGAGACACAAAAGGAAAAAAAAAGCTATATGCTCCTCGTACACATTCTAGAAACAAGGGCGAGTAATACTATCATTGGAACACTAAAATATTGTAAACAGGGGGATTTTCAGGTCCAGCAGGATTCTTAGTCAGTACCCACTCTGATGAAGTGCTCCATTGGTTTTAAAAGTCTGCCTTTTAATATTTTAATAGAGGCACTGGCCACCCTTGTTTTGGGGATTTCTGAGACACAGACTCTATCCATGCCCAGGAGCACAGAGATGGGTTCGTACTGGCTTTTTTTATTTTGGCCGAACACGTGTTTGGCGCTTTCCAGACCCTCCTCCTCTGGCAGGTGCCCATTCCGAGACAGTGCCAGAGGAGGCAAGGCAGGGAAGCTGGGCTGCTGCCTCTGAGGGGTTGCTGCTGGAGGAGGCAGGGCTGGAAAGTGCTGAACACCTATTCCGCCAAAAAAAGAAAAAAAAAGAAAAAAGAAAAACACAACAACCCCGAACCAGCATGAATTGCTGGTTTGGTGGTTTCTGCCCATTTTTACACAGCGGGTTTCCTTTCTTGGAGGCTTCCATCCTAAGGGGAATACACACCAGCAAGTAGAGAGATAACTGTAGGAAAATGGTTTAAGATCTGAATCAGACAATGTTGTTCCCCTTACACGGGTGTCCTCCATTTAGGCTGACACTGACACTTTCAGCATCCCCAGCAAGCATGGGATATGTTCTCTGGAAATGATGGGAGCTGCAGTAAAGCACAGCTGCAGCCTTCCTGATGGAGGAATGTAATTTATAGTCTGGTTGTTTAGAACTGAGCTTAAAGGCAAAGCAGCAGCAGAAATTATGTTCAGTAAACCGGACCTCACTGTTCAACTGTAGGAGAGCTCTAATACTGTATGGGCAGCTCCGTACCATGGACGGAACACGAGAGCAGCCTGCACCCCAGCAATGAAACAAGCATGGAGCAGTAAGCGGATCCCAGCTGCAAGCGTAACCACCCAGCTATCGCCAGCTGTTGCCTCTTACTTTCAGCGGGGGATAATGTTCATCAGTGCTACCATTATCAACATAAACCCAGTAAGCCTCACCCTTAAATGGCCCTTGTGCTCAACGAGCAAAATCATCCCTCCTCAACCTGGTGTCTGCCAGAGGTATAGGACTCCTAGTTCCAGAATTCCCACCAGCTATGATTCTACGACTGGGTTACTGGCATTCATTAGGCTGGGCTGATGAATGAACACTGCATGGCTCTCAAAGGGAATGAGGCAACGGTTCTTCTACAACCCTAGCCAGCAAGGCATCTGAGCTGTGATTTTGTGGCTGGGTCAGGGTGGACAGGAAAGGATCAGGAGAGAAACAGAAGCGGACACAGAAACAAGCAAGTGACACTTTATCTGTACCTTATCTGGCTACAGAGGAAGGCAACAGCCCATGTTATCTCAGATTCCTTCCCCAAGATGCTGATATGGACAGAGAGAGAATTTTCCAGCCGGTGACAAAAGGTGGTGTCATTTGCCTCCAGCTGCAGGAGTCTACTATGCTTCCATGGAACACTGCCTGCTTCTGAAACGGCTGCGGTGCATAAAAAAGAGGGAGAGGAATAATAACACTGGGGGAAAAGGTTTAGGTTTCCTTCTGATCCATTGCCCCTGCGAGAAGCTATCATCACCTTCCTGCTCGTATTAGCACAAGCAATTCTACGTTGATGAAAAAGCATCATTCACCCGAGCGACAGCCCCCAGCTGGTTGACTGCTCTGGAACACATTTCCCCCATTCGCGTCAGCTGGAATAAGCGGAGGGCCGAAGGCGCTTGAACTCTTTCACAGCTGTGGAGGGCGAGGTGAGGCCTGAGAGTCGTGGCGGGGGCTGCATTGATGTGACAGGCGAAGGAAGCGGGAGGACAGCCCGTGAACTAACAGAGGCCCCAAGCGAGCAGATGACGGTGGAAACGGGAGCTGCTTTGACAGCGACGGAGGAAGGACAGGCAGCATACAGCGAAGTCATGAAAGGTGAGACTAGGGCAAAGTCTCGGACTTCACAGCACCATTTGAGACACCTGTGGCAGCCCTGCAAAGTGGAAGATGGGTTGGGGAATCTTTGGCCCTCCAGGGGTTTTATACGACAACTCCCACCACCCTGTAACACTGGTCTTGCTGGCTTGGGGGGTCTCTGTCAGTTGACCATCCAAAATATCTGCAGGACCTAATATGTCTCACCCCTGTTGTAAACCCCCCCCCCGTTTCTCAAGTAAGCACATCCTTTCATGATGACCATCTAGAGCTGCATGTGACACACTTTCTGTAGCAATACTTTCAACATCAGATCTAATGGTACATCAGTCAAGGCTTGGAAATTTTAATTAGGAAGACTATAATGTCAAGCATCCTCCGACCAGCATGGACACTGATTCTGGACTTGTAAGCCCGAAGAGGAAGGTTTTCTAAGGCTTGGTCCTTCCTTCTCAAAGAATCTTGTCCTCCAAATCTGTCAAAGGTGCACTTAATGGCATTTTCAAAAACAAAACAACCCTATAAACCCAATGTTTTGTTGTTGTTAAATTATAACTAGGGGTATAAATGTTCACTTATTTTATTTCTGCAGGTGAGAGTTTCCAAGTTTCCCTCCACCAGGAAAAAAGTTTTTGTTTGTTTATATTTTCATCCCTTTTCCAGGAAAAAAGAAATCATGCCAGTAGCTTTTGTGCAAAACCCTTTTGCAAAAAGCTTATATATTGTGCAAATACACCTTGTCTTTTGGGAGAAAGCAACCCTAGTATTTTGTACAAAATGCAGGGTTTTTTTTTTTTTAAAAAAAAACACAAAATATGCTTTTGCACAGACAATACTGGGGTGGGGGAGCTTCTGCTGACCCCAGTATTGCTAATCATCTGCTCTTATGCAGGAGGGGGAAACCTTACCATGTTTGTTTTTTTTAAAAATGGGATGTCTTGATGTGTTAAGAATGAGAAAATGTGCAAATGTTCTCTGCATCACTCTCTATAAGAGATGTTGAGTCATTTGGCATGGAGATGCTGATAGCTGGTTTTATTATACTGAGAATTCTAAGGATACAGCTATACCAGATACTGGATAGCTATACTGGATAGCTCAGTGAGTTAGGAGCCAGAGGTTGGGAGTCCAATTCCCCACTGTGTATCTCAGGAGAAGAACCAGCATGTGTTGCCAAAAAGGGTTGCCATAAGTCAGAACTGACTTGATGGCACACGGTTGTTATACTAGCAGCAGGGAACAAGCTAGTGTGGGTCACCTTGGAATGGTCAGACTTGATCAGAATGATCTAATCAAACCTGACTGTTCAACGAAGAAATGGATCCTGCCAATATCTTGAAGTGGCTTAATAAGTGAGCCACTTCAGGATATTGACAAATTAAACACTTTCCCTGCTTGGTAGAGGGCAAAGTGGAAAAAAAAAATTTATACTGCATATAGACTATTGCTGATGTGCTGCATCAGTATTTTCTTTAAACTTTTCTTTGTCTTTTCTTAAAGGGCTGGATGAGACATTACCTGCAGCCGAATCCACTACCATGGGTTTGTTAAATTTGTGTAATAACTTGATGCAGCATATCAGCAATAGTCTATATACAGTAAAAAAAAAAATTGACTTCCTCTGCCCTCTTGTGAGCAGGGGAAGTGATTCATTTGCCAATATTGTGAAGTGGCTTGCTTACTAAGCTGCTTCATGATATTGGCATATTCAAATTGGCAGGCTTACTTTGGGTTGGTTCCAGCAATCACACACACTGGAACCAATCCAAACCAGAGCAATTCTACTTGCACCAAAATAGCAGAATCCCCTTGACAGAGGCTAGAGAAGCACTGGTAAGGACACTCTGGGGACAGGCTAGTTTGCTCCAGAAAGATGTTGTCTGGTTGCTGTATATAGACTATTTAAGAGTGCATTGGCCCAATGCAGTCCATGCAGCCAGCCTCTTAGCTGTCACTAGAAGTACCTGTTCAGACTGCAAGGTGGTAGGGAGAGAATCAGATCTTCTTCCATACAACTCCAGATTGTCCTTTGTGAAGAAGTTTAGAAAGTTAGCAAGAACAAGCTAGAACCCTTCTTCCTGATGGTCTGTGCATATGCCTACGTGAGTGCCCCTCACTCTAACATGGTATGGCCCAAGTAGAGCTTTCCTGCTGGGGAGTGATCCATCTTCCTGCAGGTCCGAGGGTGAGTGAGCTCATGATGGCATCTCTCCATCTTCCACAGTAAGGAGCTGGTAGAGCCCATCACTACAGCCACTACCCCATCCCGAATGCCTGCGTGTTTTAGAGCTCAACTTGAGCTATCCGGGAAACTGCAGAAAAATGTCAGGTTTCTAGAAGAAGCAGACAAACGTCTTGAGAAAAGGCATGGATGATGAAAGATGGTCCAGAAAAGAAAAACATAAAGGGCATTGGAAAACAGTGGACCCTTTTATACATTGGTAAGTATTCCGTCCAACGGCTGAAGGAAAGAAGTGGTTTGGGCTTTTGTTTCAGCAAAAGTGAAGATTCTGACATTTATGCCAAAATATCAGCACACAATGGATGCTGGGAACTGCAGGAGATAAAAGGACCACTGTATGTCAACATCAAGGCTATCCTAGACTTCCAAGACTAAAAGCATTTGACAGGTGTGGATGTTTCAGGGGAAAGAACCGCTAGGTTTTGTTTAGTTTTCTGCACTCATATGCATTTCCTAAGGTTTTCCCTCCAGAATAAGTAAGGTAAAGGATGTTTTCAAAGCCGAGACCCATCTCACCCTCACAGAGTCTACAGAGTATGAAAAGAAGCAACCCTTCTGTATGACGTGAGACAGTCCCGTGTTTTCAAGATACTGTAATGGCTTCCAATTATGCTTGGCTCTCGCAAAATGGCGAACTGGAGAACTGCTAGGTATCCTTAGAATTCACACATACGCACCGTCTCTCTCCTCACTTAGTAGGAGGAAACTCTCACAAGTCTACTCTGGGGAAGCTCTGACCACCCCCGCCCCCTCTTCCTGCTTCAACACTATTTCTCCCACCAGGAGATAAACGAGACATGCCAACTCTGTCAGAGAAAATTCAGTAGTGCTACCCTGAAAATATAAAACATATATATTCTTAAAGTCCTTGAAATATCCATCCTCATTCCTCAACATGTTGTGCCACGTAAGGTGGGTTTTCCTCTGGACCATCGGCAAGCTAGACGTGGCGAGTCGCTGCCAAACACTACAGGATCCAGAGGTCCACCTTCCAGTCTCATTGCACAGAAGTTCCTGAGGATGCAAAGGAGAATTCCTTGACTCCTCAATGAAGAGTTTTCACCCCTGATACATACGGGGACTCCTGTGGCCGGCAGTTGCATTCTTGCTGTTCGGGGTAGTCTATAAAGTCAGGGGCAGGCAGACCGGAGACAATCATTAAAGATTTGTTCCATATGGTGAACGTGGGGCAGACAGGCAGGACGAAAGAAATCTCAAAGGTATGGAGGTGGAGGGAGTTGGCCGGGTCGTAGAAGGAGAGGATGTTGTTGTCGTAGTCCAGGAGGACACCTAGACGCTTCATCTGCGGATGGACGTCCACCAGCATCTCCTTGTTGTTATGTCGCACCACAAAGTTGTTGTTGCAGCGCGAGAAAACCCAGGAGGAGGAGTTCTTGCCAATCCACTCATTCTTTGGGGCCGATTTGTAGGCAATGCCAATCGCATACCTGGAGATGGAAAGAGGGGGGAGGAAAAAAACCAAGTGAACATTTGGAAGAGGGGACAAAAACCGGAACCTGACTCAAATTTAATTTCGTCAGCGTGGAGTGGTAGCTAAGTGCTGGATTTCTTAAGGAGACCAAGGTTCAAATCCCTAGAACGTCTAAGAAATGAGCTGCAAGTAAGGCAGTTGCACCTAACTTCTCTCTTTCGTCCTAATTTACTTCACCAGGATGTATAAATAGGAACGGAGAGAAAATCTACATGACCTTGGCTACTGCCTACCACAGCATAGTAAAAATAATCCAAGATTAAGAACACAAATATTTACCTTCTATCATCCACGGGACTGGGATATCTTAACTGCTTTAGCGATGCACAAAAATATATTTTGCAGACAACCAGGGGGAGGAAAAAAACCAAGTGAACATTTGGAAGAGGGGACAAAAACCGGAACCTGACTCAAATTTAATTTCGTCAGCGTGGAGTGGTAGCTAAGTGCTGGATTTCTTAAGGAGACCAAGGTTCAAATCCCTAGAACGTCTAAGAAATGAGCTGCAAGTAAGGCAGTTGCACCTAACTTCTCTCTTTCGTCCTAATTTACTTCACCAGGATGTATAAATAGGAACGGAGAGAAAATCTACATGACCTTGGCTACTGCCTACCACAGCATAGTAAAAATAATCCAAGATTAAGAACACAAATATTTACCTTCTATCATCCACGGGACTGGGATATCTTAACTGCTTTAGCGATGCACAAAAATATATTTTGCAGACAACCAACTTCAATTGTTTTTACATTTGCTAAACTTTGATTGATAATATGCTTTAAGGTGACCCTTCTGAATTAAGGACCTCCAAAGCATCCTCCCGTTAACATCCCTGGATTTGCAAATTCTTTTATTGAGAAGAGAAGCTGTCTGAGGCCCATCTAACAGGAACATCCGAGGAAGTAGATTGGAATCAATGAATCCCTATATTGAAATAAATCTAATCTGGTCCTTAAGGTAAAAAATGAAACCAAACCAAACAAAAAAAGATGACAAAAAGCGTTGTGGCCTCTTAAAGACTAACTGCTATATTTTAATGTGAGCTTTCGTGGAGAGGTCCACTTCTTCAGACATGCAAGTGGGCCTTCGTCGTCGTCTTTATTTTTGTTTCGTTTTTGTCTGACATGCTAGGACAGACTACTTCTTCTAAAGCTAGTCTTTAAAGGTTTTTCTTTCTCTACTACTTTTGTTATAAATGTGACAACTTTATAAAATACTAATACTATTAATACAGCTAACTGGATAGCTCACTGAATCAGAACACCCAACTGCAGTTTGATTTCCCGGGGAGAAGAGCCAGCCTAGGTAGCCTTGGGCAAGCGGCACAGTCCTACAGCGCCCCTAGAGGAAGGGAAGGGTAAACCCCTTCTGAGTAATCTGTATTTGGAAAACCCTGAAAAGGGGCACTGTAGGTCGAAATGGATGGGATGGTGCACAGTTAATATTATTATCAATACTTATCAAGATTTTGGAATGATGGGGACTGCAGCCCAACAACATCTGGAGGGCTGAACTCTGCCCAACTCTGGTGTAAAGGAATGCAAATCCTTAGGCTCAGAATATAGGAAAACTGCCTTATATCAGGTCACATCTGTCTAAGCCAGAAGACAGCAGCTGTGACTCTCCATCATCATCATTGTCATTGCTGTCACTACCATCACTTGGACATGTTACTTTTTTGGACGACCCCACCCAGGCTCCACAAAGCACTGTGAGTTTTAGCCCAAAAGATCTTTGCTGCTATTGCTGTTGTCGGGAGATGAAAGTCGGGGAACGTTAGCAGAAGGGTTGAGTTTTAAGATTCCTAGAAGTCTGAAGAGTGAATTGTACGGTGACTCACAGTAAGCCTTTGGGGATGCCTATAAACCAAGCACATCACTCAAGTGGCCACACCAAGCCTGACCGACAGCACCATAATGATACTTTGGTTGGTTAAAAAGTCTACAAAATGTAACTGAAGAGGCAGGCTCAGGGTCTGGAGAGACATTCGGGCTCCGGAGCTACCAGGTACACGTCCCCCTCTGTAGTGGACCCTGAGTTTTGTAGGGAGGGAGACAAAAGAAACTGGATTGGGAAAGGGGGGGCTGGGAATGTTTCAGCAGCTCTGATCAATGTATTTCTGCTTGACATATGCCTGAGGCTGACTGAGAACTGGAGCCGTAATTTTACTCAATTATCTGCGCCTTTTCTCCCTGCGGCACAGAGCGAGCAGCGCACCGTTCACGTATCTGCAAGAAAACACACAAGCATCTCTGCGGCTCCTGCCGCTGACACTGACTTGGAACCGAAACTCTTTAGTCAAAGGCACTGAATGAAAAAAAAAAAGGCTCACGGACTGGGAGAGGCACACTTCCGGGTAAAGGAGCAGCTCCCTGCAAAACGACTCACGAAGGAAATCTGAAAAGCTCCTGCACTGACCGGGTGGTGCCCTGGCACCAGGCCGGACAAGAGCTTGTGCCACGGCTGTAAACTCCAAAGGGAACCTACGTACATCTGGCTGAACTTTATTCCCAAGGAGAGATGGGCACACACCAAACCACAAACCAGAAAAAAGAAAAAAAAGAAAGAGAAAAAACCACGAAATTGGCTGGTTCCTGGTTGGAGGATCCTGTTTCGCTGTAACACAGCACTGAACTTCTTCCCCCTTGGTGCTTCCTTCTGCTTCATCAAGCACCAAACCACAAACCAGAAAAAAGGAAAAAAAAGAAAGAGAAAAAAAGAAGGGTTACTTACCTGTAACCATGGTTCTTCAAGTGGTCATTCTGTGAATTCACACAACCCACCCGACCTCCCCGCTATCCGTCACTGCGTTCGCGAGCATGGATTGCTTACCTGTGGCGGATAAACGGAACTGAGGCTGAAATTGGCTGGTTCCTGGTTGGCGGATCCTGTTTCGCTGTAACAAAGCACTGAATCTCTTTCCCCTTGGTGCTTCCTTCTGCTTCATCAAAACAGGATGCCTATCCTTCCCCTGCCAAATCCCGTCCTTGTCTTGAAGCCGCTATGGTCACCTCCACCACCGCTCCTCATGCTCACCTCTATTCCCAATTAAAGATCCTGTGTGGCCAACTCCTACAAGAGAGCCTCCTCATTCATCAGCGAAATAAATCCAGATCTACAGCCACGTTCCAGGTGTGATTCTTCGGTTTTAAGGCTGCATAAAGCTCGGGACCAGGTTATCTGAAGGGCTAGACCATACTTTAGAGATAGTCCACCATCCGGAGATGACACCCATTAGCCTTCCAGCAATCTCACTCAGGCAGATCATCCTATTTGTGAATGAAACCTATGCCGACTCTCCTCAGGACCAATCAGAAAACAAGACAAACTCATTTGCAAACTACAGGAGGTGTGAAACCCTTCTGTTGTGACGACCAGATATTGTTACTTAAGGAAAACTTCAGAGATAGTCCACCATCTGGAGATGACACCCATTAGCCTTCCAGCAATCTCACTCAGGCAGATCATCCTATTTGTGAATGAAACCTATGCCGACTCTCCTCAGGACCAATCAGAAAACAAGACAAACTCATTTGCAAACTACAGGAGGTGTGAAACCCTTCTGTTGTGACGACCAGATATTGTTACTTAAGGAAATCCCTCTTCTAATGATGGGTTACCTATAATATTACAGTTTGGCCCCCAGCATTCTTGTTTTTTTCCATACAGTTGAACCCAGAGAATGGAAAAGCTGGGATTTCGGTCCACCTTTCCCAGTTCTTAGCAGATTTTGCCAGGGCACATGCTGTCAGTCAGGGAAATTAGGGGCTTGCAGTCCATAAAGATAATCTTTCAAAGCTCTGCTCCGCAGATCCAGGAAAACCACTCACCAGGTGGAGGAGCCGACGGTCACCTCCCAGTAATGGCAGCCACTATCAATGAAAACATTGCTCGCTGCACCATAACATCCTGTCCCGCTAAACCTTTCGGGCGTGTGGCTCTTTTTCAGGGAACTCTCGTCCTTCTCCATTTGAAGCCCGTCATTGGAGATTTTCAGTTTCTTGTGAGCCATTTTGGGGTCCAGCTTGAAAGGCTGACCTGGAAGAATCAGAAAGAAATTAAAGGCAATGTAGGGAGTTAGAGTCTCTCTCTTCCTGAGCAGCTTGCTTGCTTCTTTATGTACTATTTTTGTGATTCCACCCCCCTCAAAAATGGGCTCCCTAAGGCAAGAAACAGTAGCAGCACCTAAAATGAAATTTCTTTTTTTTTTTAAAAAAAAAGGAGCATCATAAATAAAACTCTGAGGATCAGACTGCAGAAGAGCACACGTAAATAAAATTATTTGAAAGCAATATTTTGGAAAGCTGACGAATACCTGTAGTGAAGGGAGTTAATGAGATTCTTGAGGCAGGGAGTTCCAGAGTTCGTTTCCTGAGAACAGCCAGGCTCAGTGTTGTGTAAAGCAAGGAGAGACAGAGTGTTGTTCTCCTGGTATTATTAGATTGCCATTCCCATCATCCCTAGGCATCATGACCTATAGTGAGGAATGATGGGAACTGCAGTTCAGCAACATCTGGAGGCTGAATTTTGCCCATCTCTGGTGTAAAGGAATGCAAATTCTCAGAATATAGGAAAACTGCCGTATACCAGGTTACATCTGTCTAAGCCAGGAGAGGGCAACTGTGGCCCTCCAGATGTTTTTGATAGGTGATTCTCATGATCCAGCAACCACCAGTTGTACTAGCGAGGGCCGCCAGGACTTGCAGTCCAACATCTGGAGTCCTGTAGGTGCCCACCCCGATGTAGGCCAGTCTTGTCTAGTCCAGATCATGGCAGAGGTCTCTGGCAGACTTCTTTCCCATCCCCTGCTACAGGACTCCATTAAAGGGAGATGCCAGAGTCTGATTCCGCTCCCCTTCCCCAAATTGTCCCCCCCCCATGCTTGTCACTAGTTTGCCTGTTAAAAGTCTCCCATTCTTTTATGAACGGCTTCATCATATCAAAAGCCTCACATTCTTAAAGGCAGAACACCGCCAACTTGCTGGCTGGGAAGAACAAGCAGATAAAAGACGATGCTTCCCATTAAAACAAGGAAATGGCTCCCATCATCTATTAAGTGCACGATAAGGAGTAAAGCAATGGGAAATGACTTTTATTACCTCTTTATTCTGTGCTTTATTCTAGCGCCCTATTCAATGGTTTCTCCAGCTGCAAACTGGAGCTCGCTTCCATGCTACACCTTCCCCAGTGGTAAGCAGTCCCTTACTGGAGCTGAAAGCAGGAGCAGGTTGTGACCTAGGTGTAGGAGTAGCATGGAGGTGGCCTCCTAGGGGGACGAAGCTCCCTCTCCTTGTTCTTATGGGTCTTCTCTTCAGCCCTTCATCCTCAGTAGACTCCTGCGAGGTAGGCTACTCTTTTGCGTGGTGGCCAGTGAATTTGTGTGTCCTTGACTGCTCTGGCTTGGCCCACCCGTCTCCATTTACCACTGACCTGTACAGCCTCCAAAGGATTCCCTGTCATCAATGCACCGGTGAACCAAAAAGAGCTGCCCACTTCTGCACTATGACGCCAGCAGATGGGGGGGGGGCATGCATACCGATTGCCTATTAGATTCCAGTTCCTTCTTAGTGCATTTTTGACCATCAAAGACCCAAAAGGTCTAGGATCAGATTGTTTGAAGGACTGCCTGAAGATGGGCAATGTGGGACCAGATGCTCTTTAGAGGCAGCCCAGGAGCCTAAAAACTTCCTTCTTTTTTAGACCCAGAAATCTCCCAGCCTGCATGGACAGGCTGAGTACAGGGTTTTGGAAGCTGTAGTCCCAGAACAGGACACGTTTCTCAGTTCTTAATAGCCTTACATCTCTGGAACTCTGGTAAACAACCATAGGTTCCTGCAGTGATGGCTTTGAACTAGCTCAGGGGTTCCCCACCTTGGGTCCCCTGATCTTCTTGGACGACAGCTCTCAGAAACCCTGGCCGGCACAGCTCGTGGTGAAGGATTCTGGGAATTGCAGTCCAAGAACATCTGGTTGGGAAAACCACTGAGCTACTAACAGGCATCCTTCAGTCTCGAAAGACTATGGTAACGTGCTCTGTATGGAGGACTTGGAACAGCGCCTAGTGTGGCTGAGACGGCCAATTCGAGAGTGACAATCTCTTCCACACTGCAGACAAATCCAATCTGTCCCCTGTCCGGCTCCCTGGTTTTGCTGCTTTTGTGACTTCCTCTTTGCCTCGGCCTGTTGGGCAAGGGACTCTTCAAATTGGGAGAGGCCGTGATGCAGTGCCTGCCTCCAGGCTGAACGCTCAGATGTCAGGGTTTCCCATCTGTTGAGATCCATTCCTAAGGCCTTCAGATCCCACTTGCAGATCTCCTTGTATCACGGCTGTGGTCTCCCTCTGGGGCGATTTCCCTGCACTAGTTCTCCATATAGGAGATCCTTTGGAATCCGACCATCAGCCATTCTCACAACATGCCCGAGCCAACGTAGACGTCGCTGTTTCAGTAATGTATTCATGCTGAAAATTCCAGCTCGTTCTAGGACTACTCTGTTTGGAACTTTGTCCTGCCAGGTGATACCAAAAATCCATTGGAGGCAACGCATATGGAAGGTGTTCACCCAGACTTTTGAAAACATGGCAGTCCCATCTGGCACATGAACCATGGCGCCATGCTGGCTTTCACAGATTAGTTGCTACTGTTCCCATTTACTGATATCTTTTTAACATTTTATGGTTTAAGACGTCTGTACTGTTAGCCACGGATGGGAGGATTCTATCCCAAAGATGAGATATGCATTTATCAGATAATAAAACAAATCACGAGAGAGGCCACAAAGAACAGACCCATGGGATCCTGCTGTTCACATAGATAGAAAGGGTGCTGAATGATTCTATTGGGCAGGTGAGAGGCTTCGAGCTGTTTCATACGAAAGTCACTGTTGCACATTTTCCGAATGCCTTCAAAAGGCATTAAGGAGAAGATAAATTACTTAACCAAGAGTCCTTTGGCAGGTTTTAACTGGAATGGCTCGGAATGGACACAAACTCCCATTTTCACACTTTAGGAAACAGCTCCATCTGCTTCAGGATTGCTAACTGCGAGCTGGAAGACATTTCCAGGAAGGGGCTGAAATGGAGCTGAATACCCAGCACGGTGGGGAAAATCCAGCCTAAACGGGCCTGGATTCCTCCAAGGCTTTGTTCTCTATTGGTATTAATGGGAGTTACTCAAGCACATTGCAGGAGAAAGAGCAGCCCCTTTAAGTGGTGGTATAATAGTCTCTCAGAGGCTCCATCAGTGCACCATTTAGTCTTCTTTCCTCCCCCCACAACAGACACTCGGTTATTACACCATGGGAACAGCATGCCCTCGTGGTTTCACAGTAATTTCTCCAGTGCCGACAGGAAGTCTGGGTTTCAGCAGCCTTTTCCTCAATATACGGCTTAGGCTGCAGAAACCAATCAAAGGGAGAAAATGAGGTCTTGGGGAACCCACTGGAAAAAAGTGGCAAAACATGGTCCCCTAAGTGCAGCCTTGCGCGGGTGCAAAAGGATGGGGGTGGGTGGGTAGGATTTACCATTCCAGATAGTCAATCAATGGCTGAAATCCTGTTGCACCGTTATGCAAATCCTGTAAATTTTAGACACGAATTGATGCAAGTTAAGAAATCTCTGTAGGCATCATCTGTTACATGCTGAGGCAGAGGTCTCATCATGCAATAGATAATACCAATGGATATTTTTAAAAACACACAACAGTTTGCTTCCAAAAGCTTATGCTCTTTGTGTAATGGCGCAGCAGGATTTCAGCCAAGCTTTTTTGATTGCAAGTGTGATCTACAATGAGTGCTTATGACTCTATGCTGCCATTACTTCATGGAGTCCTCCATACAGAAATGCAGAAATCTTCCGAGTACGTAAATCTCAGGGAAGAATCAAGAAGTGCAAGCCTCAACACTGGCTGAAATCCAGTAGTAAGTTGCTGAATCTGGTGAGTCAACTTCTATTTAAGATCCATGGGCCTACTCTGGGTGCAACTTACTACTGGATTTCAACCAACCATAACGTTCTACCTGTGAATTAGCCTAGGGTGACTGTACAGCCACTGCTGGAGAAAGAAGGCAGAGCGAGATAGACCTGTCATGGCACCCTTGAGTTGGACGGGACCTCACGAGGTCACCTAGACTAATGGATCCCAACCTTTGGCCCTGTTTTAGATGCTTTGGGTTTCAGTGCCTGGAAGCCCCAGCCAGAGTGGCCAACGGTAAGGAAATTCCAGGGACTGAAGTCCAAAATATCCGAAGGTCCAAAAGTTAAGGACCACCACGTTGTAGCCCTTCGCCTATGATTGGTCTGTGATTAGCCAAGGGATTTAGGACAATCTCCCTTGCAGCCACCCAGACGCTGCAGCTATGTTTGGAAAGGCAGCACCGTCTGTTGAGTGAAAGTTCCAAAGCTATTCTGAAGCTCCAAACCAGTCTGTTTCTGGGCACGTGCAGTAGCGCAGCTCCGGAGTTGCTCAGAACCTATTCCGGTCAATGCACTACTGACAATAAGAGGCAGCTCTCTGGGCCCGGTTGCCACTACAGCGAACCAGCTTCCCTTCAGGGTGTCCTTCCACTTGGCAGCATGACTCACTTAGATGTCAGGGAGGTTCAAGAAATCCCTGAACCATCTCTGACAGGAGAATAAACCGTATGTGCACCAAGGAGGGGAGTTTCCTCTGAAGAATGAGAAGGAGGATCCACTTCAGCAGGCATTCAGGTCTGTCAAATCAGTCTGCCTGCTGAGTGCCTTCCGGATGAATCCTCACGGGGGGGGAGGGGAGACCTGGAGCCCCTCAAAGCCAAACATCACAAAGTAGCAGCCCTTCTCATGGGACCCTGATGTAGGTCAGCAGAACGGGGGTCAGGGGGAGGCTGGGGAAGATCCCAGCAGCGCTTTCTCATCAAGATCTGGACAGCCCTCCGTCTCCACAGGAGGAAGACACTGGGTGGCCACTTAAACCCAAGGGCTACAGATGTCCTATGGCAGAAGATGCCAGCAGTGCTTTCTCATCAAGCTCTGGACAGCCCTCCGTCTCCACGGGAGGAAGACACTAAACCCAAGGGCTACAGATGTCCTATGGCCGGTCATCCACCGAAGAAGTGGCCGCCCAGTGAAGATGTCCTTAGGAGTAAAAGGCTACTCCCCTCTCTCCCACGCACATCTTAATGCGGTGAGGAGGTCTAAGTGTTCTGGGAAGCTGAGAGCAAGACCATTATGAATCTGAACTTCTAACAGGGTTGCCCAGGGCAGAAGAGCCACAGATGAGACACCAGGCTAGAATGCATCCACTTCGCAAGAACCCTATCAAGAATCCAGCAAAGAAACCTAGGTTTTTGAACCATCTTATACCACTCTTTAGCAGCCAGATTACATCTCAGCCCCGTAAGGCTCACGGTGACACCTACTATTTGAATGGCCTTTTATTTCACTGCTTTTCCCCCCTGGGTTTGTGGAAGGCGTTTGTGGGTTTCTACAGTCTTGGTTGTCTTCCAAAAATGGGAAACCACTGTGATCAACAGGCTCTACTACAACTCGGCAACGTAATCCTTGGACATGGGATTTCTGCAGCACTTACCTAAAACCCCTCCCTCTGTGCTTGACGAGCGTAGGAAGCCAAAAGCTGACGAATCCATAGCAATTATTCCCAAAGTCTTTGACTGGAGGCTGGGTGGAAATGGAGTCTCCCCGTGATGCGGAGCACTTAGCGGCACTCTTAACTGTTCTGCTGACTGACAGCAGAGGCTCAGCACCCCATTCCCCTGCCCCCCCCAAACACCTTGTTCTTAGCAATTTATTGACATGAGTCAACTCCTTTCCAAAGCAGGTGGTCTGTTAAGCACTTGACTTTTCTATCAAGCTAACAATTCCATATTTTGGAAGCCCACACAGATCACCATAATCATGCACACTAATCATGAAAAACAAAAAAACAACAAAAAAACAACAACCCCAAACCAAACAAAACCTGAAGGGCTCTGTGGCTTGGTTGTGTTCAAAGTTGATCCCCATTCATGCCCACCAGTGGCATCCAATTAGTTTTTTTTTTCACACACACAAACACTCTGCTTTTCTGAACATGATGTGGGTGGCAGAATCAATACATTATATTCTGTGAAATGCACAGAACAGGATAGAAATATCAAAGCAGAGCCCCTGCAGTACTGAGAAGGATCCTAGAAATCTAACTTCTGTGGGCCAAGGGAAGCTGAGGCCGGGTTGTTCCAAACAGTAGGTTTGGGGCTTGAAAATATGCATTCTCTGATCTGAACAGGCTTGCTAGATGGACAATGGATGGGTTTTGGGTTTTTGTTGGTGTTGTTGAAAATATAGAAAATCCCTCACTCGGCAGGGGTGGAGGTCTTAGATATAATCTGTCTGCTATTTATCACACTGCCCTTTCATCCATCCCCAGAAAGATCAGGAACAGACCCATGACAATGTGGGTGGAGAAGGACTGCAGAAGTGGAATTATCCCTCACCCCCTGTCCTTTGTCCATTTAACAAGCCTATTCAGACCAAGGGGAAGTGAAACCAATGTGGAGGATAGATCAGGGATCTCCTACCCACTCTCCTCAGACTGAAGAAGCTACCTGTATGAGGAGCGAAAACGTTTCAACCTAGTAAGAAATAAGTCCAGTTGCCGGGACTCAACTTCCAGATGCATACTCTTGAGTTTTGGGTCCCCTGCATAGCTTGCTTTCCTTCTAGGAACATGGATAACACTTGCTGAATTCTTTCTGCTCACTGATTTAGGCTCAAAATGATGGGATGCCATGATAAAGAATTTCCAGGCTCCTTGAGATTGTTCACCTGCAGCAATATATGCCAGAGAAGAAGCTCTCTTTCTCCCCCCCCTCCCCCTATCAGTGTCGCTGGAACTTGTGCAGCGTGTTTCTGCACAAAACCCATGCGCTTTCAAGCACAGCAGAAGTGGGTGACATTTCAGAAGGACACAAACAATCCCTCCAATGTTTCTAATTTTTTAAAATGCTCAAAAATTCAGGACTCTGTCGGGGAATAAAAGAAAATACCCATGCCTCCTTGTAGTCAAGAAGACAAATGTTGCAGTTTCTCATTCTTGCACACAAAAATGAGAAAAGTTAGGATTCACATCCTTTACATCGTCTGCTACTCAATTCAAGCTACCTTGTCCCCTCCAAGCTTTGCTGCATTGCTCGCGCAAGGTGAGGGAGCATGAGATGGTTTTTATTTTTTAAACCTCTCTATCGCAATTTTACAGTAGTTTGGTCCTGAATAGGCAATCAAGACTCGTCGGATTTACAAAAAACCGACTCTCGGTAGGGAAGAAAACTGCAAGAACTCCTTTGTTGTGAAGGGTTGGTGCATTCTGGTGCTCTGCGTGAGGGAACTGCTACAAGGAGTACTTGCACTTCAAAACGTACACTACACAACGGCCTACTGAAAGCAGTTTTGATAACTGAGCCATTCATATCGAAGTCTCCCCTTCCTCCCACCCCCAACAACCTGAGGGGGGGAAAAAAGGCAAGGAGTCTTGTGGTCCCTGCAAAAAACCCACAAAAAGCAAACAAACAAAAGCGTAGTCGTTAAGCTCCTTAAAGACCAACTGCTCTATTTTGATGTAAGTTTCATGGACAAATCCACTTCCTCAGACCTTGCAGGGCCTGAAAGACTAACAAAACTTACTTAGTACAAGATTTTGTGGAATATAGCTCACTTTTTTAAAAAGATCCTTTCATTGTATCAGTAGCCTGTGTATTTTGCCACTGTGGCAGCTAAAGAAGTGGGTGGAAAAGTGGTCCATGAAACTTTATGCTGACTAGAACATGGTCATCTTTAAGGTATCACAATACTCCTCATTATTTTGACTGCTACAGACTAACCTATCCGACCCTGTGAAAGTTTTTTGGGGAAAAAAATGAAAGCCTGGGCCTGGTGAAACGTACTATTTGTCTTCAGCCTGGCGGGCTCACTGTTCCGGCTGCCAGCCTGGTTTATTGCTTTGACGAGGAAGATGTACCGCGTGCCGCTCTGTAGCCCATGCACTGTGTAGTGATTCTGCTTGATGTTGGGGACGATCATCCAGCTGTCCATTGAGTTGTACAAGCCTGCAGAAGAGAGGGAGAGAGAGCACAGAGGATCGGAGGTCAAGGCTACTGCCTCCAACCAACAGTACCACCTAGTAGGAGCATGGAAGTAATTAGTTACACAAGATTAGTAGCTTTACATTAACTTCTTTCTTCAGTAACAATGACTGAACTAAGAATGTGGTCACATAGGGAAATAGATCACAATTTGGATCACTTGAGTGATTCAGTGCTATCTATTTCTTGGTGATCACATGATGCACACCTTTTTCAGTAACAATGACTGGACTAAGAATGTGGTCACACAGGGAAATAGATAACAATTTGGATCACTTGAGCGATTCAGTGCTATCTATTTCTTGGCGATCACATGATGCACAAGGAAATGAGGTCTAGCCAGACTCTGATCTTTGGAACTCCCTTCCACAGGGGGCCCAATGGGCCCCATCTTTGCTCTCCTTCCACAAGCGAAATGAGGTCTAGCCAGACCCTGATCTTTGGAACTCCCACCCACAGGAGGCCCAATGGGCCCCATCTTTGCTCTGCTTCCACAAGCAGGCAAATACTTTTCTCTTCAGGAAAGCCTTCCCTCAATAACCAGCTACTGTGTGTGATTTTTATATCGACTGTTATACATTTTTGCTTTGACCGGATTTCTAGTGCTACTTGCGTTTTCCATTTTTGTGTTTTCCACTTCTCAGAGTAACTTTTTTAAAATACCTATTTATTTTGACCCTAATATTGCCTGTTAATGTTGTAAGTTCCCAAAAATACCTATTTATTTTGACCTTAATATTGCCTGTTAATGTTGTAAGTTCCCTCTTTATTAATTGTAGTTTTAAATATTGTCTTTTAATGATGTTAACCATCATCGTACACTCATTGTTTTCAACTTTATATATTATCTTTCATTGTTTGTAAGCCACCCTGGGTCCTTTTCAAGGAGAACAGTGGGGTATGTATGTATGTACGTACGAACGAACGAGCAAGCAAGCAAGCAAGCAAGCAAGCAAGCAAGCAAGCTGGACCTTTCTGGTCCAGTAGCAGGACTTCTGCTTTTTAGGGCTGGGCTGGATCAATCCCATAGCAGACAGAATAGTTGCTCTAAAGGACATCATTGTCCCTGTTAAAACTGCCTTTGCAGCCATCTGATTGCACCTTAAGTTACATTGTGAACACAACTTAACGGGAAATATCTTCACTCCTTTTGAGGTATAGTTCTAACTCTTCTTGTTTTTGTTTTGTTACTTTTATTTATCGTTATAGGGATGCAGCCTTGCTAAATAGCAGGTAACAACTACCATAAGGTTGCTCTGTCTCATGTTCTGTTGTGGGTTCTGGGTGGCATCAACAATTGGGAAAGGAGAGTTGTGTTTTGTACCTCAAGCCGGTGGCTTGTAGCACTCAAATGTTATTGTTGAAGTACCTGAAAAGTGGCTATTTCATGTGCTTTTGAGAAACAGGAAAGCACAGTTACTTGGAAAAGTTATCTACTTCTTTGAGTTTTGTAACTATAAAAGTAACTAGTTACTTTTTAGAACTTTCCAAACTCTGTATCTAGTACAGTTTCTTCCAATGAAGAACTAGGTACGGAGAAGAAATTCATAAAGGTCTTGGGGGAGGTAGTGTTGGTGGTGCAATCTTGTCAAATTTGGCCCTTCCAATCAAGCAAGCAGACCAAAGTGCATCTGTGTGCTCAAACATTCACATGTCAAAATGCTGTAATCTGGTGTGCAACTCAAAGAATGCACACAATCTATTTATTAAGGAAAAGTGCATGCAAAAATACAGGTATTGGGGAAAAACATGCACAAACCCCCACCCATCCCTCAGTGCATCTGACTAATCCAGAGAGATGACTGGTCATTTGGTAATGGAACGAGAGAGCAACAGAAGAAGCAAAGCGCAGCCTAGGCTGGGAGAAACACATTGTTTGCAATTGATTTAATTGCCTATTTAGCAGGTTCAAAGGAAGCCTGAGGAGGGGGGGCATGAAGCAAAAGAGAGTGGCTTTATTTATTGTGCCACAGAGACCCATTAAGCCAAAGTTGGTCCAGCCACAAGCTAACATAATAGTAACAAGAACAACATACGTGTCATCAAGTCAATTCTGACTTATGGCAACCCTTTTTGGGGATTTCCAGGTAGAGAATACGTACTCAGAGAAGTGCTTTACCCTTCCCTTCCTCTAGGGGCAACCTTGGGACTGTGCAGCTGGCCCAGGGATACACAGGCTGGCTCTTCTCCTCGGAGGCACAAGTGAAGAATCGAACTCCCAACCTTTGGCTCTGCAGCCAGATATCTAAATGACTGAGCTATCCAGAGAGCCACAGGCTAGTTTAGCCTTTCACAGATGAAGGGTCTTCCAGCTATGTCCCTGAGGCCATCTACCAGCCACTTCTGGAATCAGGGTGCTGGTTTACTGGGTGGACTATTTGCCTGATTGAATGGGGCAGCCCTTTACATATAGGTGGCTTACTGCATTAAAACAGCAAGCAGATAACAAAGCTGAGAATGAGATAAGATGAACTAATCGCAGCGAGTAGATTATTTGGGCTCTGCTTACAAGCCCACGCTCGTCAAAAGCGTCCTGGCAGCTGCAGCAGTGGGAGATAAGGCCTGCTCTTAACCGCCAAGGTCAGTAAACCCAAGATTACATGTGTCCTCTCCCCTTGCCCCGGAAATCCTGCAAAGCCCCAGAAAGCGACTTACAGGCAGGAAGCAATCATTTTGACAAACTGCTGGTTTTTAGCGTCACCAAATTGCAAAACACCTGAGCGCACCTACATGCGTGGGCGCATACACCTGCGTACACAAATTCGCAAGGCTTTGAATTGGGAAGATTGCAGATTTATTCCTCCTCCCAGCTATGCAACAGGAAGTAGAGATGGGCAGGAACCACCAAACCGTGGATCCTGCTAGTTTGTTTGTTTGTTTCTTTTTTGGCCAAAGGGAGGATTTCAGCGCTTCCCAGCCCCTCCGGTGGGCATCCACTCAGAGTTAGCACCCGGGCTTCCCTGCCCCTCTTCCTCTGGAAGCTGCCTCTAAGTGGAGGCCTGGCAGAGGGGATGGGACCGGGAAGTACCAAATACTTGTTCATCCGAGAAACGAACTTGCCAAACCAGTTCGTGCCCATCTCTAACTGGAAGACATGTAAAAACTTGAAGTTTCACTGATGTTCAGAGACACCTGTCCTTATTATATTAAAATGTTTTTTCGCCTGATGTGAGAATACAGCCGTTATCTTAGAAGAAGTACTGCCTACATATCCAATTTTCCTCAACTATGCTGTCTGGGGATTATGGGAGATACAGTTCAATTCACCCAGAGGCTACTGGACTGTGAAGAGCTATTCCATTTGTGAGAATCCCCTTTTTAATAGCAGAATTTGCTTGCTGTCCATCTAAACATTTTTTTAAAAATACATAAACTACTTGATTAATTTAGTCAACTCATTCTCTATTTTTAAAGTCAATTCAAACGTTTTTGTTTTTAAATTGACTGAAATGAACAGCAACCCTTCTTGTAATTAGCCTGGTTGGGCGCTCTCTGACTAAGTTTGATTAGGAAAACATAATAAATGGCCAGGTGCCAAATTTTGTTAAGAGATCCGCTTTTTCCATCTACTAACCATGCTAAATAGCACTCAACTAAATTGCAGAAATGGTGGAAACCTTAAGAAATCTATTTAGTTCTCGGAATAAACACCGTACCTGCAAAAAGAGATATATATTCATTCCAGCATGAATTGGGAGAATCTAAAGCGAGAAGCCTATCTTGGATACGGAGATCGTCTCTGGAATGGAGTCTACCCAAACAAAAGTCCCCAGTCTCTGGTCCGAGCAATAGTTCTATGGCAGTAAAACCTACTGAATAAGGTAGAGCTTACCTCCAGGTAACGCTCAAGACAGGGTTGCACATGGTGTGAGTGTGTTTCTCCACTTGCAGTGGGAAGCTGAAGGCGGAAAGAGCTTAAAGACTCTTTTGGGAAGGTATCCGGCACTCAAAGGATCACATTCAACCGATGAAGCTGCCCCCTTATTTGTGGGGGTGCCATTCCCAAGGTTGCTAAACTGTCGGCTTAATCTACAGTAGAGGGCAAACCCTCCTGGATGACGTCGCAGCTGCTTCTGAGGGGTATGGCTGCCCACCATTATTCTTCTTTCTCATAGGTGATTAGAGAGCTTGCATAGAGCCTTTCCTTAGGCCAATCATAATGGCATGATGTAACCAGTGTCCTATCTGAACTCTCTAACCGATCTGTATACTGTCCACTATTTGTGAGTTTGTAAGGTTAATAAAAGCACAGTCCTCCTGGGGGGCAGGGCAGAATTCATTGGGAACCCATTCGGTGTTATTCTGCCTCTTCTACTAGCCACCCACCAGGAGCACTGCTGGCAGACATCCCATGTGTGTGGCTGACTTCTTTAACTTTTATCTCTAAGAGACTATTGGCTATCCTAAATATCTGGTGATCATCATAAAGCCCACCAGCCTTCTCATTTCGTGACTCCCAACACTTATCGTCAGTAGAAATGAAACCTCCGTGTCAATGGCCCCCTCACCGTGGCCAACGCATGCAACAAAGAACAAGCCCCGTAGGCAGCTGCTAATGCCTTCACTTGCAGACCTCACAGAATGCTAAGTAAGGTGAGACAGGCAGCTGCCACTCACAATGGGCCCCTCGGCTTCCACTTAATTTCCTGACTGCCAAAGGAAGTTTCTACTGTGTTAGAGGAGTGATTAGACGAGACAGGCTGTCTTTAAAAAAAAAAAATGTACCTGGAGGCCTTCTGCAATATTGTTTGGAGGTGAGCAGGAGAAGGGGGTGGATCAATCTTTTTGTTACAAGCCCACTGGGCCATGCCAGCTCCTCTCCTATCTGTGCGCCTGCACGCACGCAAAAAGCAGTGTGACACACACTGGCTAATGGCGCGCTCCGCAATAGCCAGGAGAGAGAGAGAAAGAGAGACCGGCTGGCCAACGGGACTGGGTTTTTATTCCAAAGTGATTCATTCATTCAGTGGCCCACCCGCCTCCGTGCCCAACAACTCAATTAGGCCCTCCATTTCTTCAAAAGAGCACCGAGCGACAAGATCATCAATTTCTCTCTCATCCTCCCCCCCCCCGGGTTCTTTGGCCGGCTGCCTAAAGACACGTCCCCTCCACCATTCCTCATACCGTCCCTTCCCGGCTCTTGCTTCTTCACACTAATGCAGTCCCCATCCTTGCCAGCATTGTCCTGGGAATGGCCAACCCCCAGTAGAAGAGAAAGGCATGTCGGTCCTCCCTATTCTTTGGCAGAAAGTAGGAAAGAACAAGGAGAGGGAAGACATCCCCTACAGCAAGGGTAGCCACAGGCCATTTGCCACCTAGTAACACTTCACCCCTTGGTGCTATTCTGTGTATGAAAAATGTTTCGTTCTTCTCACAAAAAGTGCCCAGTAGTGTATGTGGGGACCAAGTCTACGACATTCTCCTCTGCCCTTCTGGGGCCTGGGAGGGGCCACTTTGAATTTTGAGGGGGAAAAAGCCCCCCAGGTCACAAAAACATAAATAGGTACCAAAACTTTCCCTCCAGCCCCTAGAGGGGCCTTTAAAAATGAGAGGGGTACCAGCAGCCTGGAGGTAGGTATAACCCTCCAGAATCCAGGGTAGAGGTCTATGGACTTTGGAAATTGCCCAGCCATAAACTGAGAGATCCCTTTCTGTATCTCCTAGCTACTGCTGCCTCCCACCTTTCCTGAACTCCTCTGTTAATAACAACAGACTCAACATAGCAATTCCGTTCAGACATTGATTTTAAAAAAGGTACCAAGATCTCAAGAACAACAGCAGAGAACAGATAATTATTGTGTGTTCTCTGTTAAAAAAATCTCCTTTCACATAGAAATTTAGAATATCAAGATGAGGCTAGGGCCCTTCTCCCCGAACTGCTAGCTTTTCACTTGCAGAAAAAGGACTGGTCTATGAGAGTCCCTTGCCTGTTTTCTGAAGCAATGCCGGAGGGCCGTGCTGTGCATCCTAAAATAATACAAAAGGACTCACTGGGTGCTTTTTTCCTGAAAAGCTGAGCTGGGTTTCAGTGAGAGAATAAAATGACTGAAATTCGTTCTTGTAAAAAAGAAAAAAGGATTTAAGGTGGTCAGAGTTTGGTGGGGGAGGAAGGCATAATCGGAACAGGCAACAACTGAGCGTGAAGCTGGTATTGTGTTTGCAGATGTAGTTTGTTACTTCTCAATAACTGTTTTGGGAAGACAGCTTTCCTGCTTTTTTTATCACATCAGGTTAACGTCTGGCCACTACCCTTCTCTGTTATCTGCAGCTTAACCCCATTACCTTTCCAACGGTTTCTGTTGCCAACTGGCTAATACAGAAATCAGCAAGCCACTTTGGAGATTTGTCTTTACACGATCACGTTAAAATACTTACAGACAATTCCCTCTTCTTCCCACTCAGCACTACACCGTCGTTTTCCAGTGTTGCCAAGGGCCCATTCACAATCAAGCGGTCGAACGGAGAGTCTGGTTGGAGGGCCAAAGTGGTGGAGTGATGCCAGCTTCTGCGGGAGCCCCACTGAATTTTCAGCAACTTAGTGGCAGGCCAGAAAGTCCTACTCGTTTCTACAGCCCACACCTGTTTTGCCATGTGTTGAGCTCTGCCTGGACCTACCGAATCCATTCCCAAATCTGCCAGTTTTGCTGGTGTGTCTGCACTGATTTACACTTTGCAATGATCTCAGCCTATAAGCCTCTTAATAGGCATCCCTGGGAAACATGAATACATATGTTGCTCTACTCATGTCCCCCCATGTAGGTTTCCCACAGGGGTATCTGGACAGAGGATGATGGTGCTCCCCCTCTCTCACACACACATGCACACACTCAATACTACACAGTGATATTTGACTGTCGGTCCTGAGATGTTATTGGCCTTCAACCCCCAGAAACATTTGACCAGGATAGCCAAGGTTGAGGGCTTCCGGGAAAGTTAGTTAGTTAGTGAGTTAGTATCGTTTATAGGCCATCTTTCTCCCGGTGAAGGGACTCAAAGAACATCTTGTACCCATCACTGTGCTATAATTTTAGATAAGACTGCATGTTCTGACGTGCCCCCTGTTCCTTTACAGGTCTCTGTGTGAGAAGCAGAAATTCAACAGGCAAGACTCTATGCCCAGCATGAAGAGGTTGTGAACTGGAATGATTCATAAGTTGTATTTCTGCCTGCCATAAATTCAGTACTTCTCTCTCACTCTCTCTCAGGCAGACAAGCAAACACACACACACACACACACACACACACACACACACAGAGACACACACACAGAGAGAGAGAGAGAGAGAGAGAGATGTCAGAGTTCTGGAAATAGAGTCCCTCTAATCTGATAATCCTTCTCCTTAATTATCTGTGGTTACTCATTGGAAAAACAGACTGTGGGTCTGTTCAGGATCTTTTTTTTAATCTCACAGAGGCTACAAAATGGCTGCTAGTTATGACTGCTATACTGTATATTGCCTCTAGTATTGGAAGCAGAGCTTGGCAAAGTTACCTTTTCAGCTTTGGAACCAATGGGTGGTCCCAACTATAGTAGACCCATAAAATCAGTGGGATTTATATATCAGCAATTTATTCCACAGACCCATGCTAGTTGGGACTACAAATTGGATTTATACCTTGGACTATCGCTCCCAGGATCTTGAGCCTGTGTGACCACCTTGGTTGGTGGTGGTGGAGATTCTGGGAGTTGTAATCCAGAAAGCAACATTTCCAAGCACTTATGGGTGGCAGTAGGGTTTTTAATGCCAATTGCTTGAAAACATGAACGGGGAGGCTGTGTGTTCTGTTTTTGTGTTTCCCAGAAGCATCTAGCTGGCAACTATGGGAACAGAACGTGTCGGACTAGACAACACAGCTCTTCTATTTCTCTACAGAGACCTTTTTTAAAAAAAAAAACAGTCAATAGTTATTTATGACAATAAGCCAATAAACCTCTAAGACAGCCATTTCCAAACTGTCTTCCCGAGAGCCCCAGGGGAGGCTCAGAAAGCTTATCGGGAGAACCTGGATGAAGAGATTACTCCCGGTGACAAGCTGTCCAGGAAACAAGGGGGGGGGGAAGGAAACTCTTCCCCTGGCTGAGTGACACAGGGAGGAGGGGGTCACAGAGGGGAGACCTTTCCAGTTCTTGCAGGACAGTCGAGTATCCTCAGCAGCGCCTCCTGCACACCATTCCTCAGTGCTGTTCGTGGCTCTGGCTGTGGCAAGCTTCAACATGCTTGTGGGAAAGGGGATGGAGAAAGCCCCTGCAGCCTTGCTGGGGAGGATGATTCCGAGGGCCCAAAGCTCAAGGGATCGCATGTCCTGCTCCAAGGAAGAGAGGAAGGTGGAGGGGGCCATTCTGATCTATCCACCTACCCAATCGCCAAATTAAGATTTCATTCCTAACGTGATTTTTAGAGTTGATCCTTCCAACCCTCTAAATCAAAACGGTTTTCAAATAACTGCGCTTATTTTTAGACCAGAATGGTTTCCTTTATTTGAAGCTTCTACAACAGTGGCCAAAATCCTGTTGATTAGTGTAGAAAATTGCAGTAGGTTAGGCTCCCTGGGGGGATTTAGCAAGCCAACTTCTCTGTAAGTCTAACTATGACCTGCTATGCTAGAGGAAGTTGCAGGTAGAGTAGGCCCATTTAAATCAGTGCAACCTACAGAAGAGCTGACTCACCAAATTCCCACTGATTCAATGGACCTATTCTAGCGGAATTTATTGCACTAAGCAACAGGATTTTGATGAGTGACAAGGGAGACAGACAGAAAGATTAAAAGGCACAGAGACATACCTAAAGAGTTGCAGTCTCAACCTACAAAGAATTCTAATTTCAGAAATTACAAGTCATGTTTTCAGCAGTCAGCATTCTCCCCGAGCTTTTAGAACACTTGCTCTCTCTCTCTCTCTCTCTCTCTCTCATACACACAAACACACACACTTTTGTCCCTGCCGTGCCTCTGTTTTGCAGGATGGGGAAGTGTGGGACTGAGCTCCGCAGAGCTGCCTGCTATAAAGACCTAGAAAACAAACCCAAGTACAAAACAGGACTGACAATGACGAGTGAATCATCACGGCCATCGGCAAAGCCACAACCTAAATGCCAACGTGGAAATCTGTCAGCATCTTGTTCTCTCTCTCCGCAGTGTGACCAGGATTTTCTGACTGGCAGGGATGATGATGCAGACATGCCCCTTGGGCTCCTCTTTTAACTCAGCGTAACTTGCAATTCTCACAGCAGCTGGTGAGGGAATGGTTTTTTCTCCGTAGCTACATATTCTTCCGAACCTCTGCGAGAAGACAAAACCCTTTGGGATGGCTTAGCCTGGAACAGGCAATTAAGGCCCGTTTGCTTTACAAAACACCCACTCTTGGAGAGAATAGAGCATAAGCTAGAGCATACACACTTTCAGGGCTGAAACTGCCTGGCCAACAGGTACTTACTTATGAAATTGGCTTGGCCGGTGAAGATGGTGTACTGCAGCTCGTAGGAGCTGACACAGAACTCATCGTCGGAGATCCAGTGGACGGTGATGGTGTCATGGGAAGCTGTGCAAAGCTCTTCACGGACCAGCGGTGGGTTGGGGGCTGTGGGACAACAGGGGACACAAGACACAGGCCATCAGCAGCTTTCCAGTTGAGGCTTTGAAGTGCTTTGCAGAAGAATGAAAATGAGGCAGCTTTAAAAAAAAATATGAGGCTCTTGCAATCACTTGAGCTCCACTGAAACCCTTTAGAAGAGGTCTAAGGTGGTAATTTCAAGAAATAACAAATAATTTACAGGGACCAGCCCCTGGAGAAGGGTGCATGTAGAGTCAAGAGCAAATGAATAACTATTTCTTCAGGATGGAATGCAGGAAAAAGCAGTTCTGCAAGGCTGCAGAAAAAGCTCAGTGTGGGGACAATGTTGGGCCCAACGATTGGCATCTCTACGAACAGCATTCATAAGCTAGCCGCTTCACCCTGGCAACCCCTCTCCCCTCATTCTAGTTCTGCAACTCTTCCGCTTTCCTTAAAAAGTCAAGCAAAGATTGAGCCGCTATCTCAACACAGAGAGGTGTACACTATTTTTTTTTTTAATTAAAAGCGGAACAGCCCACACGGCACACGTGAAGGAAAGATGATGCATGCAACTTGAGAAGCAGCATGTCAGCCAAATGCTTTGTGGAGGTGGGGGAAACTAGGCTTGTTCTGTGGGAGGAAAAACAGAGGAAAATCCTCTTTGAACGGCAGGCCCGTGTCGCTCCTTTCACCAGCCTGGCTGGCTGCTCTGGAGTTGCAGATTTCCAAACCGCAGGGGATTCTTTCCTCAGGTGATTTCGCTCCATGTAAAAGATAAAATAGGCCACCCTCCCACTGCAGACACATATATTTCTGATGTATTTTGAGGAATGAGTTTGCAGCCTCCAGATGAGTGCATCAGAGAAAGCCGTTCTGCGCTTGGCTTGCCCCGTTTTAAAGCCCTTCAGAACAGAAGCAAACTCCACTGGACTGCAATGACTTTTCACCGTTTCCTACATCAGAGGCAGTCCATCTGATGCTCTCTGGTTGTTCTGGACTACAACCACCACAATCCACGACCCCTGAACAGATTGGCTGGACTGATGGGAGATGCAGTCGGAGGGCAACTGGACAGCATCGAGTTGCTGGTCCCTGTTCTAGACAGAGGATTCAAAATTAGTCCAGGGAACTTGGACTGGGTTGGAAGAGGCTGCTCTCCTGGTATCCTCCCTCCTCCAGTCACAAATAGCCATCAGCAAGGAAGCAAACGCCATCGCTTGTGTGTCTGCAAGCAGGTGAGGGCCGCCCTCTCTGCAGCTCTCTGAAAGACTGCAGTAAGAGGAAGCCTGACATTTGCCGGCAGCATCAAGTCTGTTGAGAACTGTCGGAGAAGCACCTTTAAAGCCATCTTGCTGTGGTATATAATTACATGCTGCTTTAATCAGTTAATTAATAGGTTTGCTGCTTAAAAGCAAGGCATCTAATTTGCTTAAAGATCTGTAACCAGATGATGGGCAACCCAACAGGTTTTCCAAAAAACCTTGTATGATGCCACCGCTACCTATCTGATGCAGAGAAAATCCAGGAAACTGGGGGACAGATAAAGGAGGTTGAATGACATTGTGTATGTCGCACTAATTAAGCTCAATTATAATGAGCAGGGGAAAGGTCTTTCAGCCGCTGGCTTCACTTCCTATCTGCTCTTATGAAGACCAGGGGTGTATTCACACTAACCGTTAACAAGAGTTTAACACCACTTTAACTATCGTGGCTCCATCCTATAGAATCCTGGGGTTTGCGAAGACCAGGGATGTATTCACACTAACTGTTAACAAGAATTTAATGCCACTTTAACTATTGTGGATCCATCTTATAGAATCCTGGGAACTGTAGCCTTCTGATGTACTTAGAATTCTTTTTGGTCAGAGTTCTCTACTGTCCTCCCTTGAAATACTGCGGAGAATTCTACATTTCTCACTAGAATATAAATCTCAAGATCATGTAGGATGGAGCTGCGGCACTTAAGCAACGTCAAACTTATATAACTTGATGGCATTGATACATCCCTCTCTCTCTCTCTCTGCAGTAGTTGGGCTAATTCCATGCCGCCGAATTCTCCCCCTCTCTGCAGCTTATGCCCGTCAGGAGATGTTGCCGGAGCAATCTGGAGGCCCCTTGCGTAAAGCAACAGATGGCTGGGAAGGGCAGCCATCCACAGAAGACAGAGAAACGTGGCATTAAGGTTGCAATGATGAAATCTGATGCATGCATTTAGACATAATCAGGTTAACAAACTAATTAAAACCAAGTCGCCATGTCAAAATGTTTGTGTGTGTGTCTGTGTGTCTGCGTGTTTTGATAAAAGGGAAGGGTGTGGTGGCCTGGGATGTTATTTTAATTTGAAATCCTCAGAGCATGTTGCATTCCACCGTTCAGTGTCAACATCTATATGCCCTACTCTGGAAATCAGCCAGATTCGCAAGCTGAACAACCAAAGAGCTTCCAGCAAATGTCATTAAAAGGTGCATAATTTTTTAGCACAGTGGTTCCCATCCTTTGGTCTCCAGAACTTCCAATATACAGAATCCCTCATCACTGGCCATGCTGGTTGGGGCTCCTTGAAACAAACACCGAAATCTCAGGAGGATGAAAGTTTGAGATCCACCATCTTCGGAAGCCATAGCAGTCGCCCCAAAAGACTTTTTCACAAGGAGAGAGGGACGCGAACCTTCTGCCGTTCCATGCCACTGCCATGAACGAGACACACTGTCATGTGCAGGGAAGTCAAGAGAAGCAGACAGAGCACAGAAACTAGGGCTGAATTGCTTCCCAAAGATAAGACAGTTTGCACCAACTAGCTGGGCACTTTATTTGATTCTTCTTCCATCCTGTTTTCAAACTATTAGACACCAATACAGGGATTGTCACAAGGGAAATTTCCAAGGGGTCAGCAAAAAACACAAAGAATACTCTGGAGCCCTAAAGGTTATGAGGTTTCATTTGGTGAGCAGATGCCTCAGGACATTCACCCGGGACTGTGTTTGCCACAATTTGGAAGCTTCTATGACAGGAAGAAGACTGTAATCTTCTCCTTGCTTTAGTTTGTCTTCTGCAGCCATTAACAGCACTCAATAAAAGCTCTATTACTTTTCCACACAAATGGCTTGCTCTCTTCTTAACTACTCTCAAATACAGTCTTGAGAGGATCAAACCTCTGGCTAAGACAAGAACTAATGAGAGACTCTTCAAAGCTCTGGTTTGGGTTAAGGGACAAGAAGTCTCTGGCAAACTCCACCGATGGTGCATCCAGGAAACAAGTCCATTTGGGTCCTGCTCTTCCTCACACGGGTGACACCACTAGAAAACCAAATTATGCAGGATAAAGTTTGCCTTTGCCATACAAAAGAGCACTTCTCAGAGTGTAGGCCTGGGAAAAAGATTATGAGATTTTGAGCACATTTCCTACCCGAACTTTAATCAATTAAGGAAAATACAAAAAAAAATACTTTTTTTGCAAGATTCCACGCACACACAAAAAGAAAACCATCTCACAATCTGATACAAACAAACAAACCTTTGGTCTAGAAGGGTGGGTTAGAAATCCAATAAAATAAAATAAAATAAAATAAAATGAAGGAAGGAAGGAAGGAAGGAAGGAACGCACCGTATAACGACGAAATTGCATAGCGATCTGTTTTTTCGGATCGCTAATGCGATCGCTCAACGTTTTTCCAATAGGGGAAAATTCGCTTACCGATCTTCGCAAAACGAACCCCGACAATCAGCTGTTCGGCGGCCAAAATGGCCGCCGGAAGCCAAGGAAGGAAGGAAATGTGATAGGATTAAGGAAAATCAAGCCAGAGAGATTTTCACAAACCCAACTGAGATCCCTGTTCGTCCAGAACAGTCAGTGGTGAAAAATCATGGGAATTTTAGTTCAGCAACATCTGGAGGGCCACAGACTTGCCATCTTTTTAGTACAGTGGTTCCCAACTCCCAGAAACTCTGGCCAGCACAGCTGGTGGTGAAGGCTTCTGGGAATTGCAGTCCAAGAACATCTGGGTGATCCAAAAGTTGGGAACCCTTCCCTAGACAGGCATCAGGATTTTGATGAACTGGTATGAGCCGCACATGTAAATAACTGGGGCCGCCTCTGTGAATCCACTCACAGGATCCGCAATGAGACATCACTAGCCAGGCCCTTTGTGGGATTACCCTTTTTTTTTTTTTGCTCTGAGGGATGAGAACGAGAACCACCGAAAGACGAAAGAGACTGTAACTTCTGACTTTAAAGAACCTCAGAAACATTAAGAAAATTACTTCTGCCTGTCCTCGTTTATAGGCATTTACAGCAAAGATGGAAAGTTTCTGGAGTGTTTTTGCATGACAGCTCCCCAGAACCACACATTATGTAAGTTGTAGTCCAAAACTCAAAAGGTTCCCATCTTCACTGTGCGGTACTGAAGAAATGACGAACAGACCAAAGCAGAAAAAAGGATGGAGACAAGGGAGGTGTGTGTGTGTGTGTGTGTTTGTGTGTCTCGGAATGTCACAAACCTGTGAGATAATCCAGCCCCTCCAGCAGTTTCTTCTCTCTGGAAAAATCTAAAGCAAAGTTTTCAAAGGCATCGTTAAAATTGATATCGGGTATCAAAACTTGAGAGGATGCAGTTGCCATGGCGACCCTGAAAGACAGAAGAGAACATCAATATACATTAGGAAGTGCTTGCAACTCCCAGGCGGCACTTTGATTTTTGATTAAAGAACTGCAAACCGTCTTGCAGTGACGGAATCTCGGGGTGGCCCTTGAGATGCGCATGCGGGGTCTCTACGGCTTATGCAAGAGTAGCCACGGTGGAGCCTGACCTATGCCGACAACCAATTCCCACATCTGTTGTTGATATCCACAGCAATTAGATGCAGATCCACAATCTAGCCCATTCACGCCTGATGGCTGGGGAAATCACAAATCTCTGGAAACTACAGAGTTGGCTTCCATGACTCCCAATGTTACTAGGCTATTGGGATAAGATTTCTTTATTTATTCATTTTTGTGGGAGTGGAATATGAAAGAAATGATGAGGAAGCAAGGATGATTATAAGATGGAGACACCACAATGTGGAGTCCCTGTAAAATGCAGTGGACAAGGCAGGGAAATCACGGGACAAAAGCTTTGCCTGAAAACACCTAGAGCAGCAATGGCGAACCTATGGCATGTGTGCCACAGCTGGCAGGCAGGGTCCTCTCTGCGGGCACGCAAGCCATAAGTCACCGGATCGCTACTCCCCCCCCCATGCAGCCAGACCTGAGGAGGGACTGCAGCCACGATGCTGGCGACCCGACGTGTGGCGGGCCAGGATCCAGACCAGCTGGCGCTGACGGCAGATCTGGAGTGGGGTCTTGAGGCACCTCTGTGCCTGGGATTCCCCCTTCTGCTGCCACTGCCACTACTGCCTGCTGTTTCCCTCCCCCCCACTCCCCCAGTTTGGGCACTGGAGCCCAAAAAGGCTTGTCACCACGGATCTGGAGTCTTAAATCTTCCAGCAGCCTTCAACTTTTCAGATTATGCATCTCATTTAACATCCCCGAAGCCAAAAGAAGAGCCAGACACTGTGGTTCTGTATTTGTGGATTACTGCCCATCGGCCAAATTACTCATTTTGCATGTTAAGTGCTTCCGACATAGGGTGACCCTCCCTATAAATGTATGACCTCTGAAAGGCTGTATCCTTAGCAGGCCTCGCAAATGACAGGCTATGGATTCCTTGATTAAATCACTAAACCTCATGTCAGTTCTTCCTCTTTTCCTGTTGCCTTCCACCTTTCCCAGCATTATTGTCTTTTCCAGAGAATCCTGTCTTCTTAAAATGTGCCCAAAGTAGGACAACCTCAATTTCAACATTTTTGCCTCCAAGGATTGTTCAGGCTTGATTTGCTCTAGGACCTATTATATTTTTCCATTACACATACATTTGTTTTCCAATTACACATACTGTAAATTACACACATAGGGTTACATGAAACTATTCATTTAGGGTTAGCTGATGTGTCAGATTCATGCTGTTGGCTGGAGAACATTGAAAAGCAGTTCTTCCTTTATGCAGAACTTAACTTTCAGAACTGTTTCACTCTTGATTAAAGCTCCTAAGTTTGCATGCAAAGCATGTAAGACACTTAGGCTGTCAGGCCATCAAGCCTCACTTCCATTTACTCAGCTAGGCAGCAGCTCCCCAAGGAGCTGAGCGTAGACCTCTTCCAATACCCAAAACACCTTTTAACTGGATCTCTCCACAAGGGAACTTGACACCGCCTGCACGCGAAGCAGGTGCTTTGCTATTAAGCCAAACTGCTCCTTCCATTCATGCATGATTTCACAAGAGGTTGCCTTACACTGCTTCAGGCCATGAGCCCACTCTAGCCTAGTTGTGTCTGCCCTCTTCGGTGGGCATGTTTCTGAATACCGTACACTTCTTTCACCTGGAATTGCTGGAACCGAGCCTACTTTATCCACAGCTGAGCTAAGGACCTTGTTTCAATGGGAAAACAGGAAACTGTGAGCAGACCACCACACAAAATTCTTGCCTTCAACAGCCTCCCCACAATCCAGATATCCGGGACTACAACTCACAAAGAAACTAACTGGGAAAGCAGATGGGAATTGCAGTCCAGCTCATCAGGCAAGCATCAGCCTCAGAAATGCAAGTCTACAGTGATTGCGGATGTTCCAGACAAGAGGTCCTTTCCAGCCCTATTTGAAGATGTTGGGAGACTAAACGTGGAAGTAGGATCCAGGGCTCCGGGCTCCTCTCCTCAGAGAAACCGTACCGTTGTGCCAGGAAGTGGATTGGGCTCTAGAAACACATCTTAAGTTACTTTTCTCCAAAGCAAAACGAAACAAGCCCACGCATGCCCTGTATTCAATCTTCCAAGCCATCGCCACAACAAAGTCACCTCACGCCATCACAGTCGAGGGCTTTTTAAGCAAGCAAAGTCCCTTTAATGAAAGAACTCATTTAGGGTGGAGATGGAACTAATCAGTTAAAGGAAGCCATTGACCATACCTTACTCAAGGCCCCTAAAGGTAAAGGTAAAGGTTCCCCTTGACAATTTTTGTCCAGTCGTGTTCGACTCTAGGGGGCGGTGCTCATCCCCGTTTCCAAGCCATAGAGCCAGCGTTTGTCCAAAGACAATCTTCCGTGGTCACATGGCCAGTGCGACTTAGACACGGAATGCTGTTACCTTCCCACCGAGGTGGTCCCTATTTATCTACTTGCATTTGCATGCTTTCGAACTGCTAGGTTGGCGGGAGCTGGGACAAGCGACGGGCGCTCACTCCGTCGCGTGGATTCGATCTTATGACTGCTTGGTCTTCTGACCCTGCAGCACAGGCTTCTGCGGTTTAGCCCGCAGCGCCACCACATCCCTTTCGCCACCACGTCCCTTACTCAAGGCCCCTAAAGAATGCTTATTTGCACGCCTGAATAAGATACAGACCAAGCGTGTGTCATCTCTGGCTCTTTCCGGTGCTCTCTAGGGAAAAAGTCATTCCCCCCCCCTTGGATATGTCTCATTCTGCTCTGCTCTCTCCCCTCTCGATAGTGCTACTCAACTCCTGCTTATCCGAGAGCTGCTGCCAGAGTTGCCTGAACTTCACATCTGAAACGTTCCCTCTTTGAAGCTCCTGATCGTGCTGCTCTCTTCTTCTGACTCTCTGACACCTGAACTACACCTGCGAAAGGTGCTCTCTTTGGCGCTACCCATAGCAGTCTTTACTTCTACTACGGCGGCTGCTACGACGTACCTACTAGACCTTCTCTCAGCCTCACCTGAGACCCTAGCAAAGCCCCAGTTGGGTTGTATCTTTTCTTCAATGAGGTCTGCTCTCTGAAACAGGACAATGAGGAAAAACTTGGGCTCTGATGCACAGCCATGTTCAGGCGTACGATCCAATCATTTCCACATTCAATAATGATGATGATGGGGGCCTAAAACCTTCCCAAGTTACAGAAAAACTACAATCAAATACCACCAATGCTAGAAAGCAGGGTTCCTACATCAGAAGGACGGCACATTCTAGTTTCCAGAAATGAGGTCTGGTTATCACAGTTTACATAGGTGCAAGGATTCAACTACATGTCTCTTCATTTTGCTCCCCCCCCCCGTCTGATGGGGGGACGGCACAATTTAGCATTCTCTTTGATCTCTTCTGGTGGTTTGACAGTTGCTCTGACTCCCAGCTGTTAATTTGGCTGAGCTAGAGGCACTTCTGTGTCCTTAAGGAGAATTTTGATTAAATCAGTAAATAATTGAGAGCAACAAAACCAAAGAATTCTCCTTCTCTCCCTTCCTGAGAGCTACGCTGGGGGGCGGGGGGAGAAAAAACCCGCACAGCAGAACCAAGAGACCTAATTGGGTAGCTTGCAAAGATTCAAGGTTGCTCACGGCGGTTACAGAAAAAAGGGGAGTCAAGACGGTAGCTGCATGATGCCACCGTACAAACCTGCAGATGCCTGACTTCGTTTCGATTTTGACAGCAAAGCAGGTCCAGACTTGGCTAATATTTGGATGGAAGATCACACGGAATGCCAAGGATCACCTGGGAGAGCTAGGAAATAATTCTGCCTCCAACCGAGAAAGCCACTGTTTCATGACTGACTGACTGGGGCCAGGATGAACCAAGGTCCATCTAAGAGATAGTAACCCCGTGTATATACCACTGCCCCATTTAGTGCTGATTTATTACAGCATGCAATGTTCAAGGTGTCCCCTTTGTGGTTTTTCAGTGGGAACTTTGTCTACCTAAAGGAGGCCAGGCCTCTAGATTTTCTGCCATAAAGCATAATATTAAAGTGCCCCATTTAGTGCTAATTTAATTAGTATTCCAGTTTCTTGAAACCAATGCTGAGTGCTAAGCTGGGTAGTACTGTATAAGGCAGTTTCCTATGCTCAGGGAAGGAGAGGACAAACAGTTCCAATAATACCGAGCAGCACAGACCAAGGGTTCAACAAAGATACAGGCTTCCTCTGTGTGTACACAAGATTCCCCTCTCTCAGCGTGGGGTGAGGGCCATGCAGGAACCAGACTGGAGAAATCTGCCTTTTCTGGGGATTACAACTCTGGGCCAGGCTTGAGAGGGGATTCCTGGACCTACAGTTAGAAAACCAACCAACCAACTTTTCTGTGTTTTGGTCGTGGGCCAAAGAGTTGCTGCCCACCCTTAAAACGGAGGAAAGGGGTCCTATCAGGCCGTACCTCTCTGCCACATTCTTTGCCGTTTGTAGGAACCGTGCATGGTCATTCTCCTTCAGGATGTGCTCGGCTTGGTTGATGAGGACGGTTGAACGTTCCAGGCACTGCCGGCAGTTGGCTACCTGCTGGGCCAGCTTCCTCAGCTTCATCACCTTGAAGAAGGAAGGAGAAAAGAACATCATGCTTAATAACAATACAGTGGCGCCTCGCTAGACAGTTACCCCGCATGACAGCTTTTTTGCTAGACATTGACTTTTAGCGATCACTATACTGATTCGCAAAACAGTGGTTCCTATGGGGGAATTACGCTGGATAATGTTTGGTCCCTGCTTCGCAAACCGATTTTCACTAGACAACAATTCTGACAACTCCCTCCACACTCACAAAACGGGCGTTTTCGGGATCTAAGCTTCACAAGACAGCTATTGAAGCAGCTGATCGGCAGTTCGCAAAGCAGCTTTCCTATGGCCGATCTTCGCTAGACAACGACGATTCTTCCCCATTGGAACGCATTAAATAGGTTTCAATGCATTCCAATGGGGAAATGCTTTTCACTACACGATGATTTCGCTAAACAGCGATTTCAGTGGAATGGATCATCATCATCTAGCGAGGCACCACTGTACCTGTGTGCCACTAAGTCAATTCTGACTTATGGCGACTCCTTTTTAGGGGTTTCTAGGTAGAGAGTACTCAGAGGTGGCTTCCCATTCCCTTCTTCTGGAGGGCAGCTGCCCCAAGGCCACCCATGCTGGCCCTTTTGGGATACACGGTGGGGAATCGAACTCCCAACCAGATACATAGCTCACTGAGCTATCCAGCCAGATAGAAAGTGCCAAATGCACCTAATTAGCTCGGATGCGATTTGTTAGAAATTAATTCCTTACTCCTAATTCACCAACATTTTTAATGCTGACAAGTTCAAATGTTCTCATTTTAATTTTTAAACACCAAGGCCATCGATTCTGAGTAACCATTACCATTTCTTGTTACTTAAAACTGTCACTATATGCAGTGAGTTTTTACGGAGGTTGGCTGGTTTGGGTCATTTTAAATGGTTTTGATTTAACAAATTCATTAGCAGATCAGTCAGTTTTATAAATGGCTCCGGCTGGTTTAACGTTAATGAAGCCATTTTCTTTACAGCTTCAACATGACCACATCAGTACCAATACTAATGTTACCAAGCTCTGCTCATTAAGTGCCCATGAATGTATTATTCAGAGCAAACAGCTGGTAACACTAAAGAGCAAGCCAGCACATCTAAGAGACATATTTAAAAACACAAAAGGAAGAGGGAAAGTGAAACCTCCCTTATGGTGTGGGGTGGCCACAGAATGAACAAGTGCATAAAAAGACCCCAGGGAGCTGGGGGAAAGAGTTCAGCTATGCTAAAAAGCAAAGAGCTTAGCAGTGCTTTATTTGAAGACTTGGGAGATAAATTCCAAACTGCTGCCTGGGGGAAACCACACACACACCCCACAAACCATCTGCAACCTGCCTCTGAACTCACCTTAAGAAACAACACCTGGCACAAACAGCAGCCACGTAACTTTGTGACTCTACTGTATAATTTTATGAACTACCCAGACGATCTTGGTGCATAGCCTGAGGAAGATGAATTATCACTGAAAGCTGTCTGTTTGATTTTTAAAGGGGTCCAATAAAGGTATCACCTGCTCTTGTATTTGTATCGCCGCCGCCCCAATCCTCCTTAGCGAACAGATGTTGGAAAGGGAAAACGACAGGGTCTTTTTCCATGGGGAGCTGGACTCTGAACGCCCCACAGGAAAGAACCGTTCTTAGCAGCTCAATGGATCGCCAGCATATACATGCTTGGAATTTGGAAAGTTCTCAGCCCACCAGCAACCACTTGCTCAATATATCTGGTGTTTTGTCAATTTCAGAAATGACAAAGGACTGATGTCTCGTAGGGAGTGTTATAGAAAAGGCTCTTCTCAGAGGGTTTTGTGATGGTTTGGACAGCTTCAGTCATTATGATATCGTAATGGCAGTTTCACAACCCAGAGTCAATACAGCCTTGATGATACTCAAACTCTAATGCGACTGAAATGAGAAGAAAAATGTTTTCACTGCCTAGTTTCTTTCATGGTGTGTTTTGAACCCGGTTTTGATTTTTTTAGTGATTTTTTAAAAATGGCTTTCTTGAGTGTTATTATTCAGCGGGTGAAAGAAAAAATGAATGAAATCTATCAGCGAGGCATCAAGATCTTCCCATGCTCCTCTTCTCCCTTAACTTCCATTCATTAGATTGAGATTGCAAATGATCTAAAATGCTCCCTGTGGACCTGGAGGAGAAGGAGGTGGTCCATCTATTTCACTGCTGGCCATGAAGCAAAACAAGGAATTGAACAGCTCATTACAATCTTATTAGTTGGTGAAAGGAAGGGTGGGTGGTATGTAAGAGAGATGCTGCTTTTCTGTACATAGAACCAAAAATTTGGAAGGGGCTTGGAAAAGATCCAACCAACCCGCTGCTTGAGCAAGAAATCCATAGCCCATGGGAGTCCACCATCCCTCTCGGTAATGCATTCCACTTTCCTATTGTGCTAACTACTGAAAAAAAAATTCCACTGGGCATGACCGACTACAGTGGTGCCTCGCTAGACAGTTACCCCGCATGACAGTTTTTTAGCTAGACATTGGCTTTTTGCGATCGCTATAGTGATTCGCAAAACAGTGATTCCTATGAGGGAATTTTGCTGGACAATGTTTGGTCCCTGCTTCGCAAACCGATTTTCGCTAGACGACGGTTTTGACAGCCTTCTCCGTGCTCGCAAACTGGCTGTTTTCAGGACCTAAGCTTCACAAGACAGCGATTTAACCAGCTGGTTGGCGGTTCGCAAAGCGGCTTTCCTATGGCCGATCTTCACTAGACAACGACGATTCTTCCATATTGGAACACATTAAACAGTTTTCAATGCATTCCAATAGGAAATGCTTTTCGCTAGACGATGATTTCGCTAAACAGCAATTTCAGTGGAATGGATTATCATTGTCTAGCAAGGCACCACTGTACAACAGCGACTTATCTACAACATTTAAGCAAAAGTAACTTCATGCCACAGGCCCTGGGAGTCCTGTTTTGACAAGCAACACCTTCCCTATTTCAGCAGCGGGGAGTAAGTTGTCAGACTGCAACTCCCACAATCCCTCACAACTGACTGTGCTGGCTAGGGCTTCTGGGAAGTGCACCACGTCAATATTTAGAGGGCCCCTGTGTGTTCTCTGTCCTGGCGGGGGAGTTGCGGAGAAAGACTAAAAGGCTGTGTGTGAGAGAGAGGCTTGACCGCTCTCCCTGAGTACACAGCTAAAAGGGCCCTCCAAAGCTACATTTTGCATCACCTGCACAATTGGTTGCACTGTCTGGGGCTGATGGGAATTGTAGCTGGTGACACTCGGAGGTTCCCTCGGTGTAAGGCAGAGGTGGGCATGTCTCAGTGGTCAAAGGACCAGTTTGATGGCCAAAAGTGTGCTATGGGCTGCACCAGTTCCAAAAAGAGAAATAAAAAGTGGGGCAATAATTGTGGAATAGGCTGGATGTGTGCTTTTGGTTTTAGGGGGGAAGGGGCTGAGCATCAAAGTGATGCTCATGGAAACATTTTAGGTGGCCAGATCTTTTTTTCCCAAAGACTCTCCCAAATGGCCATGCCTAAGCTGGTTTACCTACCCCCTATATAAGGAGAACCAGGATGATACTGGGGGCAGAACGCTATCTTGGAATGGACCTGCTAATCGCCTCCTCAAATTGGAAATGCAGGCAGGGCACCAAGTACAGCAGAGATGTGTGGTGCTCCACATACCATGTTAGAGTGCGATGCTCATTGGCCCCAATCAGCACAGCCACCGGTGAAGCACACCCACATGCGTCATGCAACAAAATCTGGAAGGCTACATATTCTCTCTCTCCCTCTCTCTCTCTCTCTCTCTGTGTCTGTGTGGGACCAATTCACTCCACCATTAGAAATCAATAATTAAGCAGTACATTAGAAATCAACAAGCAGGAAACAACATCCAACTGTTGCTACATAAAATGTCTTCTCTTGCCAGAGCCGTGCCGCCTAAGTCCCAAGCAGGTAACATGTCATTCATGCTATTAATCAGTTGCATAAATCATTTGCTTTGGCTGTGGCTTTAAAGCACAGGGCACCGAACCACAGACTCCCAACGCCTGCAATAATCGGCAACTATAAACTCATGGAGGGAGCACGGAAGGTTCCTTGAGGGTCATCCAGTTCAACCCATCCTACTCAATGTACACTCTGCAGTTCAAAAGGCATCTACAGTATCCCTGACAAACAGCTGCCCAGCTAATCGGCTGAAATTGTTGTGTTATATGCTACGAAGTCAGAACTGACTTACAGCCACCCCAACAGGACTTTAAAGGTAAGTGGGACATTTAAGGAATGGTTTTACCAGTTCCACTCCCTCGGTGAGGTTCCATGGCTGAGCAGGGATTCAAACCCTGGTCTCCAAAACATCACTCTATCCGATACAACACACTGGGCTCAGCTGCTAAATGGTTCCAGCAGAGAAAGCCTACCAACTGTCGAGGTAACGTGTTGCACAATGCCTCGTGGCGCAGTGGTTAAGCTGCTGTACTGCAGCCAAAACTGTGCTCATGACCCGGGGTTCAATCCCAGGTAGCGGCTCAAGGTTCACTCAGCCTTCCATCCTTCCGCGGTCGGTAAAATGAGTACCCAGCTCGCTGGAGGAAGGGGGAATGTGCCGCATGCATAATTAACTCGTAAACCCTACAGACAATGTTTGAAGCACTATGGGGCAATATACAGTGGTGCCTCGCTTAACGAGCGCACCGTATAACGATTAAATCACATAGCGATCCGTTTTTTCGGATCGCTAATGCGATCGCACAACGTTGTTCCCATAGGGAAAAATTCGCTTTGCGAAGACCGGTAAGCGTTTCGCTTACCGATCTTCGCAAAACACCCCCTGCCGATCAGCTGTTCGGCGGCCAAAATGGCCGCCGGAAGCCGGGAAATGGCCTAAAATGGCCGCGCGCAGCGTTTTCGCGCCCTCGTTAAGCGAGGCGAGGGCGCAAAAATGGCTGCCGGCCATCCTGAAGCTTCGCTGAACGGTGAGTATTTGGCCTATTTGGAACGCATTAAAC